TGGGTGTTCCCCACTTGGATGAGGCCCATAAGGCCTCTCATATCCACACCCTGTTATTCTGGCCCCTGGGGCTATTAAACACTCCTACCGACCCCTACAATTCTCAGCATGACAACCCTATCTCTCTCTCTCCCACCATTTCTCCATCTCCCCTTTCTCTGCTCTCCCCTTTCTCTGGTCTCTCTCTGATCACAGGCCTCTCCTCTCCCCCACCTCTCCCTTAATTAATCAGCCATGTAAAGAGCTGCCAGGGATGCCCCCACCACCACCACCACGTGGCTGCTGGCCTCTTGTGGCCTCCCCCCTCCCTCACCCAGCCCTACCACATAATTTATCATGAGGACAGGAAACCAGGAGGAAAGGGGCCTCTCCATAAGGTGGGGTGAGGACAACAGGGGAGCATAGGCAGCTTTGCAGATAAGATTTCCTGGGCTCTCAAGGGACAATGCTTCTGAGACACCACCTGCCTAAAGATGGGTGGAGAGGCAGGGTGGCATAGAAAGAGGGCTGGGAATCTCAACTCTAACTATAATCAACAGCGAGACCATGAGCAGGTAAGCGGCACCAGAAACTTGCTAGTTCACAGTGCCTTGCACAAAGAGTAAGCTAAGTAAGTGTTGGTTTCTGTCCCTGCTAATAGGGTGCTAGGCCATCCTGTTCCCCTGAAATCTGTCCCCTGCATCCTCGATTAAACCCAAGAGCTGACTCTATATACCAGGCACATCCTGTAATATCATGTAATCCCTATTTTATAATTATGAAAGCCGAAATTGGGCGGCGCCTGTAACTCAAGGAGTAGGGTGCCAGCCCCATATGCCAGAGGTGGTGGGTTCAAACCAGCCCTGGCCAAAAAAAAGAAAAAGAAAGAAAGCTGAAATGCAGAGAGGGTAACTGTGACCAGGGTACTACTAGAAGGCAGAGTCAGTACCAAGGAGCCTGATCGGGCAGCCCCAGGACTGGGAGTGCCAACAGCCCCAGGTTGCAGGAAGAGAAGCTGACAAAAGGTTTGCTCAGAAACTCAGCTGGGCAAGAACTTCACAGGCATCTGCAGTGGGGCTGACAGCTTAGGCTCTGCCCTACAACTTGCTTGGGAAAGTCCTTTTCTGGGAGCAGTGCCCGTGGCTCAGTGGGTAGAGCATTAGCCCCATATACCAAGAATAGCAGGTTCGAACCTGGCCCTGGCCAAACTGCAAAAAAATGGGGGGCTGAGGCAAGAGAATTGCCTAAGCCCAAGAGCTGGAGGTTGCTGTGAGCTATGACAACACAGCACTCTACCATGGGTGACAAAGTGAGACTCTGTTTCTATAAAAAAAGAAGTCCTTTTCTGGTCATGATGTGTGGCACACCTCTTGGGGGGGGGTGGAACACAATTGTAAGAGGGACTTTACCTAACAAATGCAATCAGTGTACCTAATTCTTTGTACTCTCAATAAATCCCAAACAATTAAAAAAAAAAAAGGAAAGAAAAAGTCCTTTTCCCTCTCTGAGCCTCAGCTTCCTCTTCCTCATCTTGTAGTGGTGTGGGGCAAAAGACGGACTGAATGCTTGATGAGGTCTCTTTCTTCCCTGGGCATTGTTTCCTACCCTACAAAAGGACCCAGCATGGCACATATAGGACAGGCTGTGGCTTACAGCTATTCATAGGGTGAAAATCAAGTCCTCATCTTCTCCACCCCCATCCTGTCACTTGGGGTCTATAATCAACGAGTCGTAAAATGAGAGTATCAGGAAGCAGCAAAGCATGGCGAGCAGCTGGGGCAGCCTCGCCTGCCACCCAATGTGATGGACCGCCAGCCCTCCTCTTGCCCAACCTCCACACCCGACTCGAGCCAGTTGGACATCAGTGAGGAAGTTAATTTTTTTTTTTTTTTTGAGACCTAGCCTCACTTTATCACCCTTGGAAGAGAGTGCTGTGGCATCACAGCTTACAGCAATCTCAAACTCTTTTTTTTTTTTTGAGACAGAGCCTCAAGCTATCCCCCTGGGTAGAGTGCCATGGCATCACCCTCACAGCAACCTCCAACTCCTAGGCTCAAGCAAGTCTCCTGCCTCAGCCTCCCAAGTAGCTGGGACTACAGGCGCCTGCCACAACGCCCGGCCATTTTTTGGTTGCAGCCATCAGTGTTGTTTGGCGGGCCCGGGTTGGGGATTCGAACCCGCCACCTTAGGTGTATGTGGCTGGCGCCTTAGCCGCTTGAGCCACAGGCGCAGAGTCCAGCAACCTCAAACTCTTGGGCCCAAGTAATCCTCTTGCCTCAGTTTTTCATTTTTAGTAGAGATGAGTGTCTCACTCTTGCTCAGGCTGGTCTCTAACTCCTGAGCTCAAGTAAGCCACTCAGCTTGGCCTCTCAGTGTGCTAGGATTACAGGTGTGAGGCACCATGCCTGGCCATAAATAAGAGCCAATTTTCAATGAGTCCAAAAGCCTCACCTTAAAAAGGGATTGACATAGGGTGGTGCCTGTGGCTCAGTGGGTAGGGTGCTGGCCCCATATGCCAAGGGTGGCAGGTTTGAACCTGGTCTCAGCCAAACTGCAACAACAACAAAAAAATAGCTGGGTGCTGTAGTGGGTGCCTGTAGTCCCAGCTACTTGGGAGGCTGAGGCAAGAGAATTGCTTAAGCTCAAGAGTTTGAGGTTGCTGTGAGCCCTGATGTCATGACACTCTATCGAGGGTGATAAAGTGACACTCTGTCTCAAAAAAAAAAAAAAAAAAAAAAAAGGACTGAAATCTATGTGTCTGGGCATGGAAAGACATGTTCCAGATATATAGTTGAGTCATAAAAGCAGGTTACATTTTCTCCCTATAAAATGACCCTGTCCCTGTTTATGTTATTCTACAGAAGTGTTCGTAAAAAATAGGAGGTAGACTCCAAACTGTGATTAGCAGTTATCTCCAGGACATTAGAGGGAAACCCTCATTTTCTACTTTATATATTTTTCCTTTGTTGGACCTTATGAAAGTATATATTGCTTTTATAATTAACAAAAGGATGACCTTAAAATAAAGATATTTCTACTATGGGGTGGGGGAACCTCTCAGAAATATGCACGGGATTTTATTAAACTAGGGTGGAAGGCCTAAAGTACTAAATATAAAATCAAAACACAAGGAGTTTGGTTTTTAAAAAGAAAAAATCTACAATCCCTTAATGAGACTTGTTTATAAAGTCCAAAACTATCAAAATATTGACTTTTTTTTTTTGAGACAGTTTCATTTTGTCACCCTCGGTAAAGTGCCATGGCATTAGCTCACAGCAACCTCAAACTCTTGGGCTTAAGCGATTCTCTTGTCTCAGCCTCCCAGTAGCTGGGACTACAGGTGCCTATCACAATGCCTGGCTGTTTTTTTGTTATTATTGCCATTGTTGTTTAGC